AATAATGCTGATATGACATAATTTTCCGAGATTTTTTCCTCACTTTTTTAGTGAATTATACTTTTTTATGCGTTTGAAATATGCTTCTTGAGATGCCTACATTTCAGAGCCCGCGGAACGGCGGGGATCGGGAGCCTCGAGCTCCCCTCCTCCTCCCCCCCCCCCACACACACACACACACATTTGTTTGAAAAAGTATATTAAAGAGAAATAGAAAGAAAGAGAGCAGAAAGAAAGAATAGTTAACTACCAGTGTAAAAAAAATAATGAGGTATCAAAATACGCTATCCTGACCGTGATTAAATGCCTAAAACCCCTAACCTCTGACTCCACCTAGGACCTTAAAGGGGCCTTAAGATGCTCACCTGACGACAATTTAATGCCTAGACCCCTAAAAACAATGTGTTGTTTAATATATAAATTGTAAATAGATAAAAACACCTGGAATCGTTCTTAACTTAAACTCGTCGACGATATTTCAAAACGGATAACTCGCAACACAATTGCGATTGCCCAAATGTAAACAGAATTTTACAGGAAGTCATTCATTTGTTCAGGGAGTGAAATTTGGAATGAGCTTCCACTTGAACTTAAAGAAGTACCAGAGCCTGGCATTCTTTAAGAGAGACTCCTAAAAGAAGTTCTCACATGATACGGTGTTCATTGTGCATAGTTTGATTTTTATCATTATCTATAATGGTTCAGTTTTTATCATGTTACTCGACTCCATTACCATGCAACACCCACAACAAAAAGTGAGTCACCCTTACTCAAATTGATGAGTCACTGGTTTGTCCGTACAGTGAAACACTTGAAGGATCGTGTGAGTCACTATGACTCGATACAAATAAAGAAGACTCATTTGTATCGAGTCATAGTGACTCACACGATCCTTCAGTGTTTCGCTGTACGGACAAACCAGTGACTCATCAATTTGAGTAAGGGTGACTCACCTTTTGTTGTAGGTGCATCATGACATAGACCCCCTACTCCCTAGGCCTATCACACACATACCATACCATGCCAGAGTCACTGTCCCATTTGCAATGGAAAATATATCCTAAAATATCACATTTTAGCGATGTAATCGGTGGTCCCGCTACCCGAATCTGAAAAATCTACTTTGTACGCACTAAATTAAGCCTTAACTTGAGATTTATTTGTCACCCATACTGTCACGAACAATCTTGAATTGATTCGTTTTACATCAAATAACAAGAATCTAGGAGTTTCGTTGTATAAAACAATGATGCAAAGATCATCATGTTTTCATTCGACACGGCTTCGTGCGATACAGTAGAATCTATACACTATGAACATGACTGACAATAAGAGCGGACAAAATATACAGTTCCTCAGGTAGACAAAGGAACATCCCTTCACAGCTATTATGTAAAAAGGTGAATATGCATGTGACACCTGTTCTACAACATTTTTACATAATAGCAGTGAAGGGATGTTCCTTTGTCTACCTGAGGAACTGTTATATTTTGTCCGCTCTCATTGTCAGTCATGTTCATAGTGATAGTTAAGTTACACACAGCCTCATCAACTCGAGTGCGGATATCGTAAAATGAACGCATGCATCATTTGTATAATAAGCCCACGAATCCAGTCATAAAAAATCGTTTAAAACCATATGAATAATTATGCGTACCCATTTTTCACTAGCTGCAGTCAAAAAACTCTTCTGAATCCAAGATATAATGGCGATGGCGGACGGCGTCGTCGATCGGGAATTCAAATATGGCTCGAGAATGCGCATTTTGGGATGACGTAACGAAAGCATGCGCGCGCATGCATACAGCCTCACTTTCAAGTTGACTCACTTTTTTCTTCTAAAATGCTCTTATGTCGATCTTGACTCATTTTTTTTACGACCATGTGAGTCAGTCGAAGCATTTTGCAAATGCGTCAGCTCATGATTGACACACTGGTGAAATATAAATTAGTCAATAGAGACTCATTGTTTGTTACTAATGAGTCAATTTACACCTGACTCACGAAAATTATGCTTAAATGTGTCAAATGACTCACTTTTTGTTGTGGGTGAATGCTTACACTTATCATTAATTAACTGTTTTTCTTTGGTGCAATATTATATTCAGTTAATGTATTCCTATGTTTTTTTTTCATTTATTTTCATAGTTGATTTTATCATTATCTATTCAGTTATTGTCATATTACTTGACTCCATTACTATACAATGCATACAATTATCATTAATTAACTGTTGTTCTTTTGTGTAATATTATATTCAGCTAATGTATTCCCATGTTTTTGTTTTACTTGTTTTCATAATTGATTTTATAATTATCTATTATGATTCAGTTTTGTCATGTTACTTGACTCCATACCATACAATGCCTACAATTATGTATTTTTTCATGTGCTGTTTTATAATCAGGGCTCTATGGAAGACCAGGTTTTTATTTTGTGTATACTGAACAGACTACCCTGAATAAAGAAGTGAATAAATAAATTCCTGGGAGCTCCGCCCTTGGACCCCACGCCAAATAGTGTCCTGGCATTGTCAAAAATAAGGTATACAAATATGTTTGTCCGACCGTAATCAAATGCCTAAAACCCCTGAGCTTCCGGGGCTCTGCCACCTGGACCCAACCAAGGGCCCTAAGGCGGACCCCTTGATACTCATGTGACTGTAATTTAGTGCCTAAAACCCATGGGCTTACGGGGGCTCCGCCCCCTGAACCCCACGCCAATTAGTGGCATGCCAGTGTCACAATAAGGTATCAAAATATGCTCATCCGCCTGTTATTAAATGCCTAAAAAACTCTGAACTTCCAGGGCTCTGTCCCCTGGACCCCGCCTAGGGCCCTAAGGCGGACCCCTGGATGCTAATCTGACGGTAATTTATGCCTAAAACCCCAGAGCTTCTGGGGGCTCCGCCCGCTGAACCTCACGCAAATTAGTGTCCTGTCAGTTTCACAAATAAGGTATACAAATATGTTCATCTGACCGTAATCAAATGCCTTATACCCCTGAGCTTCCACGGTCCTCCCACGGCCCCCCCCCCCCTTGCGGTGTAAACACGCCCAGAGTCACACTTATTAAGATGCCACACTCCTAGATGACCAATGGTGCCTGAAAGAATAGTGGCAGCAAATGAGAAGGCTCTTCAGTGTGCAAAAGCCTGACAGAGCATTTGAGATCAGATGATGGACACGAAAGAAGAAGTGCCCATACTTTCTTGGTGCATCAACTTCATCGGCATTAATCATGTTTACCTACACCTTGAATCAGGAGTCTTGGATCTTTGCTTGATTGAATAAAGCTTGCTGGTCTAATGCGGGAACTTTCTTAGATTAGTAAATGCTAATCTCACAGGAATTCGTTTGATGACCTATTTTTAATTACATGACATTTCATACATATTCTTTTTATTAATGATGACAGTGCAATCAATTTCGAGGCACTGATTTGTCATGGTTTAGCTCTCAAATGAACAAGTATGATGATTATTCATGATAATTTGTCTATGTAAATTGACATCTGATTGACATCTCGAAATGACATCTGATTGTATAAAGAAAATGGGTAATTTCTATAATTATGATATGATGAGTGTCATTACACTTAACAATTCGATTT